GCTCAATCTGGTCCTCACGATCGAGCGGATCAAAATGTATGGCGCGATCATGCAGTTGCAAGATCGCGATCATGACTCGCTTGTAGCAGTTGTAGATGGTCCCTACGGACACTCCAGCCCAATCGGATATGTCTTCAGTAGTCGCAGCATTGCCATAATGGCCGACACCATTGAGAAAGATCGCGAGCTGGACGGCGACAGGAAGTTGTGGATTATTCGAGTTATTATGGAAAATGGGGTGGGCTTGGATTAACGTTGTGAGTTTGTTGAATACCTCTGCATCAACGCGAAGCTTGCGGCGAAACTTTTCAGGTGAGAGCAGCGCCCATTCTTGCAGCAGGTGTAACTGCGGTGCGCGAGTCAGAGATGGACGCACATCAAGTACCCAACACTTCTCCACTTCATCATGCAGTGCCCCGATCGCATCAATAAAGTGCATAAACACTTGATCGCACATGTCTGGGATATCGAGTGATAGGACATCAGAATATGCTGTTGAAAGCGAGGTTACTAGAGAGCTGATGGACAACGTGGATATGACGGATGACGTCGGGGACTCCGGCCATGTTGGCGATGCGGTCCGTATGCTGACATCTGACCCACTATCACCATCCGATCCCTTATCAGAGCTATTGTCAGAGCCCTCCTCGAGGAGCTGATCCACCATAAATTCAATCAACTCCATGTATCGCGCAATCGTAAGGTCATTTGTCGTTTGCTTCAGACTACGAAGTAGTTTTTTGCGATCCGATTCTCGAGGCATCTTCCGATGTCGTTGCAGAACGTTATCAATATGATGGTCACGGTAAGGTACGATGATGATGGGCGGTGGTAAGATATGAGCTTGATTTGTCATCGTCGGAGTTCTAATTATCGGCAAGTCGCAAATTTCTTACCTCTTGAAATTTCTACGATTTTAACTTTGAGGACCGCTATTGGTGCTAACAGTCTCTGTAAACGTGATGGTGTTAGTGTTTCTGTTGTAGCGGTCTGATTGTGTTGTTGTTCCTTTCTATCAACTTTCTCTCACGTATCAAAGTTTCAGTCTCATTCTTACCCAAAAGTTTGGTGTTGTCTCTTTTGTCCACCGAAAACTTAGGATAGTCTTGTGGGGAGACTTTAGGTGTTGACAGGGAATCGCTGACCTCAGACATCTGCATGTTATACTAGGCCAAAGTGGTCATTTGCGAGTTAGGCTTTAGCTATTGAAAAGGGGACTTGGTATTGAAGTCCAAGGCCACCCGTTCCTGAGTCTGTTTGAATACTCATTGTGAGTTCCTTGGCAGCAGGTTCAATATTAGGCTAAGAGTGCTACAGTAGCTCTGACTAGGTCTGACAGTAGTCTCATCTGTTTAGTTATTGAGGGGGATTATCATTGTAACTCCACACAACTTGCTGCACCAAGTTTGTGTATGAATCATGTTGCTGTGTGAAGTGTTAGGAGGAGTGTCTATTTGCTTTGTGTCATTTCTATATTGCTAGAGTGACTGTGTCTCTTGATAGTTTGCTGATTGTGTTGTTGTTGTTATCGATCACTGACCAATCGGATTCTGTTTCGATTATTACTGTACTTCATATCCATACTGTTGGATTGCCTGTTGATTGTTGACTGCTAACTTTTGTGCAGAGCTATACATTGCTGACTGTATCTTAGGAGCAAAGACAAGCCACCCATGAACGACTATGTTATCAGTTATTGGTATTTGTCTAAATTGCTGACCATGGAGATATTTGGTTTTATAGGTGTTTATCTATAGATCATCTATCTAAGAAGACACCAATTGGGTTCTGTTTCTGTTATTACTGTGCTTCATATCCATACTATTGGATTGCCTGTTGACTGTTGATTGTTGACTGCTGACTGTATCTTAGAAGCAAAGACAAGCCACCCATGAATGACCACATTATTAGTCATTGGTATTTGTCTAAATCGCTGACCATGGAGATATTTGGTTTTATAGGTGCTTATCTATAGATCATCTATCTAAGAAGACACCATTATCATTATTCGACTTTAGGTTATATACTACCTTACAGGAGTTAACTATATGACTATTGAACAGCTCTCATTCTAAGCTTTATGTGTATACAAAAGACTCTCTCTTTCAATGGAAAGTGAGACACATATCTAAGGACAACAAAGTTGAAACAGACTTTCATAGGTTGAAACACGACTTACTAGGCTGAAACAAACCTAATGAATTATCCAGAACACAGAACATTCTACAACACTTCATATAAGACTACACAAGAAGAGGACAACAAACTAAATCCTCCCAAGAACCCACCACGTTACCTCCCATGAAGTAGAAAAGTTGGAGACTGTGGACTTAAGGACTGGCAAGAAGTCTTCACCATGTATAATTGTGTTGTCATTCTACACAACTCTTATATAAGACCCTTAAGTAACAAGACACTGGCATTGAATTTTCTGCTTTTGAAATGGAGAAAGGTGGACCATGCACTTGTCTTGTTGTGCCGCTTTCTCAGTAAGGCCGAGCCAATGTAAAGTTTTTCCAGGTAGTGTTGATGGCTTCTGCCAAAACAATGAACCAAATCTGTGGCCTGTTCATCAATATATATGTAAGTATGTCATCCACTGCAGCATCCTCATCTGCCTGTTTTTTATGCTGTCGGGCCATCAAAGCTTGTCTTGCTTCTCAAGACAATTTTGGACCCTACCTGTGTGCATGGTTGCAGCCTATGGTGCGCTGCTTGCTACTCAGGAATACTGCTCGAACCATAGTGGAAGAGGAGGGGAATCTCAGAAAGGAACATTCATTCATGTTAGTGAAGTATTACATTGCGAAAAAAAAACCAAGCAAAGCGATCACTTCCCAACAGTGCCACCCAACACATTCTAATCCTCCCACATTGCAGCCAATATTTGAAGATATCAGGAACACATGAATTGAAAACCTCACAGCAGGTATTATGAAGGGTGTCACTGTAACCCAATTCCTCCAGTGTGGCATGAGTATTTGATCCAAATGGCAGAAGAAGTTCCCTTGGAATTGAATACATAGACCATGACTGTGATGATGAAGAGACAAGTGGCACTGAACAGTTTGTCAAACTGAGTTGGTGAGCTTGCTGATGAAGCACCCAAAGGCATGCATGACGGCAGTAGTGAAACATCTGAAGACATGCGTAATGGCAGTGGTGAAATGCCTGAAGACACATGTGACTGCAGTGGCTTCAGTGGTGTCTGAGTCACATGAACTGTCCTGGATGTCAAATGAGCTAGGAGTGACAGTAGGCGTAGTAGTGGATGTTGGACAAGCTGGAGTAACAGTGGACATTGAACGAGCCAGAGTAACAGGAGGAGTAGGAGGTTCAAAGGAGGGATCAGGGTCAACCCTCATATGCATAGCTTCATAAGCCTAATGGAGGAATTGGGTAGGGATGTGAACTGTCTCCTGAGCATGAGGTGTTGGAGCCGGTCATCCTAAAAACCTGACATTAACACACATAAACTTTAAGATGATTGCACTTACTAAGATCAAGATCAAGAGCGCGAATCTCTTGATGGAAGTGTGCCTAGACAATGTTATCTGCTGATTTGTCCACCAAATTGTTGGAGTTGCAGAAGAGGTAGAGGTAGACAAGAAAGGTAGCATTGAGTTGGTTGTTCATTGAGTGGAAATGACATGCTCGAGGCAGCCAAAAGGCCTTTCTAGAATATTGAAATCAGAGGAGCAAGTGCTGCTAGAAGGTAATGGAACAAGGGAAATGTAATCATAGTCTGGGATGTCTGATGAGTTGCATCTCAGCTCCTGTTTCCATCTATGTGCGAGACAAGCTTCCTGGAAAGATTGTGCCACCAGTAGAGCACACCCCTTGACAAACATCTGCATGATTTCTGCAATTGGCTGATGACATTGTAAGGGATTGACAAGCAGCCTCAGATTGAGATAAAGCAACACAGAAAGATCTTGAGGTTGCAGATCTGTTAATGGTGCTGTTGCACTGGGTGGTGTAGGCAGAAAGTAACACCACCAGATAGGCAGTCAAGAATAGTGCACTGAAACAAAATCAATGAATGATGAACAGGTAAATGAAGACACAACATACCAGTCATATATTAATTTTCACACTTGAAACAGATGATTAGCTCTCTCTCGTGAGGCTGCTTGTTTATTGTCATTCATCATGCCCTCGAATGTATTGCTCAGGAAGTGTTTTGCTGTTAAAGGATGGAAGCCTTAGTTTGATCAAAGATGATCATTGTCGCTGTTAGCTCCATGCACTAACATGGCAATTATAGCTGAGAGCCATCAATCTGACATGTCTGTAATGTTAGCAAGTTCTATAGGGCAAGAGAGTGTTTTGAGTAGAGTACTTGTGCCATCCATAGTGGGTGGCTGATTGAAAGCACTTATCAACCAGTGCATGGCAGGACATAAAACAACGCAGTGGCTGAACGCTGAGCATGTAGTACATCTACATATTACAGCAATTTACATGAGTAAGTTTGTCATGACAAGCACTTTTCACTCACTTCCATGAAGAGAATACATTGTTCAAGAATATCTCACTAAAGCTGCATGGAAGGTCAGTGATGCTAAAAAGCACGAGAGTGAGTCCAGGCTCTTTGTAGTTCGTCACATTTTCTTAAGCAATTCACAGCCAAGTTGGAGCATTCTGCATAGACCCACATGTAATATACCACCTGCATTGTATCTCATTTTTATCTCACATTTGAGGGTTATCCACAACTAAGAAACAAAATAATCCAAAAGGTACATTAATGTCACCCTATTATAGTTTCACCATGATAAAAGTGCATATTGTATACACAATGTTCTACCTTGACATGCAATGTAATTGTAAGCTAAGCTATACCTCATCTGTGTCTACTGGTCCATCATGAAGCTGCTCAAAAAAATCTTCCATCAAAGTCTGCTGCTTGCCATCAGGATCATCATATGGGCTTGATGCCTGTGAAACTCTGTTGAGTTCTGAATTTCAGGTGCCAGGGTGTTTGACTCTGAGAATGTTCATTCACAAGTCTTGAAGTCCTCTTTGCCAGCACCAAGCATGAACTTAGAGTGATGTTGAACTTGACAGAGATGGTTATGGACATGTCCATAGAATCCAGGCACAACACCCTCAATACCAATATTTCGTACAGCAGGTCCTAAGGATGAGCATTGAAGGATGGAATGGAACGTGCATTTGATATCATAGCTGTAAAGGAACCGCTTAGTAAAAATGTCCATTAATTTGTTGATTGTCACCAGCAGATATTTCATCCTGAAAAACTGTCAGTAGATTGGTATTGTTGAAGCTAGACTCAAACTTACAGCTCACCACTGCGGACCATGTCGCATATGGACAAAAGGAATCCATGACGGCACACTGTGACAAAAATACCAGACTTCTGGAAAACAGAGAACATGCACTTGTGGGCCTCGGGTGTGGTATTACGCCATCTGTCAACACAAACATTGACTGGTTCATTCGAATCCTGGTCCTCATTCTCGCAATGTATCCAGGGATTATTGGGATCCACAATATCAGCAGGGGTCAAGGTGTTTGGATGGTGGGAGCATCAAGTGTTCTTGACTTCATCCTTGAATCGATCAACATATTCTTCATCAATCCATATGTCTGATTGTCCATTGCGAGGGTCTTGGCGCTCTCTTCCTCCATGTAATGCAGGGTCTACAAACTTCACCGAGTTATTACCATCCAGTGCAATCTCAAAGGGAAACCTCAGCTTGGGTTCATCCTAGACTTTGTAGTGGCAACAGGGACACGAATTGTGTGCATGCTAGTTAGGACCAGTGTGTCCAAGGGCTTGCAAGACATGAAGAGACACCCGCTGTAGAGACTCATGCCTCTCATGGCATGATATGGCAGTTTCCACTAGGAAGTACATAGCACAAACTTGCAGCACCACTCTATGTGCTATCCACAGCTATTCCTATATGAGGCGCAGCTTTCCCACGCAACATGCGCACTCTTCCCGCACTTCACGATGTATATGCGCGCGTGCATTCCCATGCTTGAGCGCCCTATAGTGCCAGCCATCCAGAAGCATCCATCCACTGTCCACCAAGCCCTCTAGTGCATATATTTCCATTTCTCTTATTAGCATATCATTCCACCTTTATTTTTATCATGGATTCTCACTCATATATATCTTTACATACCTACTTGGTAGCGCTTCGGCTCCGCATGACAGCGGTTAGGCGCCCTATATAAGTGCCAGCAGTACATACTATTACTGACTTACCTTTTCACCCAACTTTACTTACATACTTAATACCTAGAAAGTCGCAGTAGAAATCTATTCCTCTACACTTCGCATCTCTCTTCACTTATCTTGCATTATATTATCACTTAAGCTTAGTCTCTCTATCATTTCCACATGCACACGCGCTTTCCCACGCTTCGTGCTAATATGCGTGTGTGTTCCCACGCCTTGCGCACACCTGCGCTTTCTCGCGCTCCACTTCAGTGCATACTACTAGATCCTTGCTGCACTCGCTTCCCCTTTAGGGTCGAACGCGCTTGTCATCTCAAGCATAGCAGACTAGGCAACGCACAACCTACAACATTTTTAGATACAGTCAGGAGCATCATTTGTTCCTCACAGTATTTGTTGTTTCTACACCGCCACAGATATATGTCATAGGCAATGCAAAATTGTTCGGCTAAATACTGACCATAACAAACCTAGAATCAGAAGACTTGTTCCATCAGTTTTAATGTACTAAATGAATGTATGTACTCACACCATGCAAGTGACATAACTTCTTCGCCTCTGCATGAATACTGAGCCTTGGGCATACATGTGTCACGAGTTCCAAATACAAATCATTATTTATTCCTTAATTCTAAATCCTTTAAGCGCCCAGTCACAGCGCCTGTTCCTAAGAATATGTTTACTGTTGAAGAAGTTCCTATTATTGCGTCTATTGTAGAATTACCAGAGTCACGTGCCCTATCGGACAATGCCAAAGATGTTGACGTCATGCCACGTGACACTCTTGGAATGTTCCAGAGTCTTACTGTGGCTGCGACACATGTTATGACATCATAGTTATATATAGAATCGTACGATACCTTTAATTATTCTGATTGGTTAGTTAGTTCATACTCAGTTTCAATCTCAGTTTCAATATGTGTATATAGGTAGTTCATCATAGTTAGTAGTTCTTTAGTTCAAACCTCTTGTATCTCCAAGTGAGCAATACCAAGACGTACCTGCTGCCTACTTCCTCTGTGTGGTTATTCTGTTGTTTGAGTCCTAGTCTCTGCCCAGCGTTACAGCTATTTGCAAAAAGGTTGGCAGTATCCGCCTCGTGATATCATGAGAAAATAAGTAAATGGGTTGCCAAATTTAGCAATCTGAGCTTGAAGCGCATCTGCGGCGCCGTGCGCATCACATCTTATCCAAGTCTCCCTTTATGCTTTGCTAATCCATGGCATCTCAAACACATTCCTCCATATTTGACCCACTCAACGCCACAGATGATGTCTCCGACCATAACAACAATGGAACTAGTTTGAATGTGAAAGTCCAAGAAAGCATGACTCTCACCTGGCATGTAGAACGTGAAGGACAGCCAGCACCAAGCACCGCAGATTCTGGAATCACCACGAAACGCAAAGGCCCTGGTCGTCCAAAGAAGAAGAAATCTGACGAGACTGGTGTGTGCACGATCAGTATCACTCTGCCTATTGCAGGCTCTCACTGCTCGATGGATCATCCTGCATTGATTGGATTATTTTTTCTCTACTTGTGTTATTGCGTGCTCTTTGATGACTGTCTGCTGAACATTACCCAGGCGCACCTGCTCAGGATCTTCCACCCACCGCTCCACAAGTAACTTATTATCTTTCAATTTTCTCCGAGGTGGAACTTCGGAAAGCCAAGAAGCAACGAAAATCAATCAATTCTTTCTTGCAACAAGCAGCCGACCTCCCATTTGACACACTGAAGGCCCAATTACTTGCTCAGATCTCGGCGAAACTCAACCCCAACAAGATCTCATATGACAACTACGACATTACCTGGACAGTGCCACAAATTCAGCCATCTCCGCTAGCCCTGGTGTCAGATGGTGATTATACTTTTCTGCTACAGCATGCCCTCAAACACAAAGAGCCGCAAGCAAGTATCACCATTAAGGCTCGCTCGAACAAAGTGAGTTCATACTGCAGGATATATGCACATATACTCAACTGAAATATGCTGCAGAAATCAGACAAAAAAAGACGGAGCAAGGGAAACCATCATGATGCAGATGCAGATACGAGCTCTGAAGAGGATGTCCCAGATTCTGACGAGAGTGACAATGATCGACGGCCAAAAAAGAAGGTCAAGAAGATGGTTAGTACTCCTCGCTCTCATACTAGTATTCTCATCCAGTGCTGTACTACAGTCTGGAAAAGACAAGCTCAAGGCACTAGAGACGAGCTTGAACACAAAGATCAACACCAAGATTCAACAACTTCGTGACCGGTGGATGTGTTCGAAGCCTGGATGTACGAGCGAGTTCTGCTTTATCCACCCCGAGTATCCTGAGCATTTTCAACTCGGACACAAGCATTTGTCTGTGTGGGCTGCTGCATGGGTATCTTCATTGGCCCTCTCAATATGATAACTCACTTACTTCACATATTGCAGAACAAAGACGAAGCCCAAGCAGATCTCAAAACTCCGCCCAACTACACCAAGTTCAATGCACTCCCAGGACAAAAGGGTGCTCCCTCCCTTCTTCAGTGTCGGCTTGCTGAATGTGCACAGCCTGGAAACCAATCTGCTCTGGCTGTCATAAATGTCAATATACCACCTGAACTTCTTACAGCATTTTGTGCTCCCGTGGACATCGTACCTCGGTCCATACCTCCTGTAGTGCATATTGAAGGTGACAAACCCAGTGACTCTCTGATTCCTCCTGTCATTCCGAATGGACTGTCTCTTCCCCTCGATCACTTCTGTAGAGACTATAACCTGAGCGATGGTATCCTCACAAAGCTATCTGACAATGGTTACACCGGCACAGAGACCATCTGCTATATCCTCATCTCAGAGCTGAAGGAAATGGGATTCAAACTTGGCGAGATTGCTGCGATGCGGGCGGCCATGAAATGTTGGTGCAATTGATTCTTTTACTCTTGTTATCATTTCCACATTATTGTTATTGTATCATGTTCATACCATCGCATCAAGTTCACAGACAATTGTATTCTATTGCTGACTAGAAGTACCCTGCATGCTTGATGTACCCAGCTGCGTCCGATTCCATTATCACATCCATTGCAATGTACATGTCGTAAACAATCCCATCAAGCTCTTTGGAAAGGTGGTCCTGGTTGCGATGAATGAATGCCTCCTCGATTGGATTGAGATCAGGTGAATAAGATGGGAGATATTCGAGGCGTACACCTGAAAACACTCTGTATCATTCAAATACATAATAGTACAAAATTTAGATGCCTACCTGCTTCGTAAATGAGTTCTGCGACACCATCGCCATGGCAGCATGATGTATTATCCATGACAAGCACACTCAGTTTGCCAGGGTAGGGAGAGCACAAGGGAAACTGCATGGACATTAGTTTACACCTCAAAGACGAGAGAGCAACCTACCACGTCCTCTTCAATGAAGGTCATGAACTTCTCAGTGGTGAATGAGCCCTCAACCACGGAAGAGGCAATCATGCCGTCAACAGTGAGTAAACCCAAACCTGAAAGACGGTGCCCACGAACAAAAACATCCTTCTTTGCTGCTCGTACACCTTTCTTTGCCCTTCCAAACCTCCTCGACAGTGTTCTCTCATCCTTGGATGTCTCATCCAAAAAACCAAGTTCCTCTGGCTCATATTGTGCCATGCGCCTGATGAAGTCAGCACGTCGGTCTTCATTCCGTTCCTTTGCGATTTTCTTCAACTGCTTATGAGAGATGCCTGCACGGGCAAGCTCGTGATATATGGTTGAGAAGTGGACAGAGACCAGTTGGTTATTCTCGAGCAAATTGAGCAACTCATCCAGAAACCAATCTGGTCAATGGTGGATGAGTCGAAGGAGATAGTGAACATCTTCAAAGTGTAAAGTGCGTGGGCGACCACGAATTCCGTAGGTGTGCTGCACGACATCACCATTCTCCCTCCATAGTTTGAGAATCCGCCAGAAGGTTCTCTCGGAGAATCCAACACATTCAAGAATCTGCTCTAGGGATAGTATTTCATGCTCATAGAGATTGACGGCTGCTAGTTTTACATTGTGACTGATCTTGCGAAAGGGCATGTTGGAGGTTTGCAACAACACAGGGGGCATGCGTAGTACTTTCCAAATATGGCGAACAATATTTTATTTTCTCATGATATCACGAGGCAGATACTGCCAACCTTTTTGCAAATAGCTGTAATTCGTTATTGGGTTGTGACATTAGGTTTGAACTATAGGAGACTCCGACTCTCGTGTTACACTCTCGCATCTCTCTTTCTTTCACCTGGTCGTGTTGGAAGTCATTTCACACCATCAGCCGAAACAAAGCCATTATACTTTTGCCCGGCTTAAACCGCCACGACCTTTTTCATTCCTTGCTCATTTGAGCGCATTTCCTACCTATCATCTTTCTTAGTTAGTAGTCCTATACCAGGCCCTGTCTTACTACAGCCGCCAGTATACGGAGGTGTTCACGACATTAGGCGTGTCACTGCAACTTTGAGTGCTGGCCCAAAACCTTGCCTGCTCAATGTTACTATAGTTTCATTTTACCTATTCTTTTCTTCTTTATGCATGTAGGCACTTGTTTCAAGTTAATAGCGGAACTGTCTAGATGACAAAAAATGTGCTCTCGACCTACGAGGATTTAGAGACATACCCTAGTGAGACTCGCACTTGTAAGCTTCGGCTGGAAGAGTGATAACTTGTCCTAGGCTTGTACCCTCAGAATGGAGATTGCATTGTCCCTAGTTTTTCCCACTTGATCGAGTATAGTTTACGTACCTTTTCTAGTCAGTATTAGGGAAGCGTCAGTTGGGTTGATTAAAGAACCCTTTGACCCTGAAGTATGAGGTTGATCCGATCAGATATCAGGACTGCTTCAGTTTTCTGTTTACATAACTTTCTTCTTTTCATCATCATTCCCTTCCGGAAGAGCCCTTACGAGCAGCTCTTCAACAGACATCAGTGAATCGGGTTCCAGAACACAACTGGCACTATGTCTGAATTACCAAACTCTCCTGCACAAGAACAACCTGCACCGGTGGTAGTATTACCATCTACCCCGCAGGAAATTGTTGAGTACATTCACTTGTCACTTGCAAATCAAGCGGACAGCTTCAGGGTCAGGATCGCAGAACTAGAAGCCAAGAATGAGGCTCTAGAAGAATCAAACAGACTCCTTGCCGTACGCCTAGAAATGCAAGAAGACGAGACTATGAAAATACAGTCTCAACAACCATCATTCGGCTCTGCAGGAGCTAGTCTACTTTCATCGAACTCTTCCCCCTCCATCAAATACTCCAAACCCCAAGACTTCACAGGAGAAAAAGACTCCATAGAACTAATGGTCTGGATATCCCAAATAGCGCTGTACACTGCGCAATGGCCTACCATTCAAGACAATCAGAGGATCAGAGTAATGCTTTCGTTTATGAAAGGCACTGCAGCCAAATGGGCGCAACCTTACATCACTAAACTTGGAAAGAACAGAGAAGAGAAGTTGACCATGGAAAAATTCCTGGAAGACTTAGAAGCCATGTGGGGGCAAGAAGATCGTGAAGGAAAAGCGATCAGAGAACTGGAAACCCTTAGACAAGGATCTTCCTCAGTTCCATAGTACGCAGCCACTTTCAGACAAAAGGCTGCACACACTTCATTTTCTGACTACAACCAGCGACAGAAGTTCAAAATGGGACTTCAAGACCGTGTCAAAACACAGCTCGCTCATGTCTCTTACAAGGACAAAGACACCATGAAGAAACTGGTGGAACATGCGATCCAAATCAGACACAACTTCAAAGAGCTAGATGCGGACAAGAAGAAGACGACCTGGTGGACCCCTAAACAAGGTCCCAGGACCCCTGAATATAAACCTGGTCCTAACAGGGAAAGCGACGCTATGGACATCGACGCCAACAAACAGCAAGGTGCTCCAAAACCTCAAGGAAAGACTGGATCTTTCAAATGTTACCGCTGCGGAGGCGAAGGCCACATAGCTAGAAACTGCAAAGATGCAGTCGCGCCAAAAGTGCAGGTGAAGGCTACTACAGTGCCAAAGGAAGAAGACCCTATTCCAAGTTGGTTCAAAGCTTGGGCCGCTAAAGAAGGCAAGGGTTTTTAGAGGGGTCGAAGTCAAAGTCTGCAAACTTAGACCCAAACAATCGTTTCTCCATTCTATCTACATTTTCGGATGTGTCAGAAGTATTTATTAAATCAAAATCTGAGCATTTTTACATTCCGATCACGTTGAAGGGAAAGAATCGACAAGCAGATGTGAAAGCACTTGTGGACTGCGGTGCATCAACATTATTTATTAGTGAGAAATTTGTAAAAAAGAATGATGTCCAGTGCCATAAATTATTAAGGCCCATTCCGGTTAAAAATATTGATGGCTCGTTAAATGCCACTGGATCGATGACTCATTATGCTGAATTAGGTCTAAAGATTGGTGACCATGTTGAGGATCAAGCAGCCTTCATGGTTACGGACTTAGGAAGCGATGACATTATTATTGGCATAGATTGGTTAAGATATCATAACCCGGAAATAGATTGGAACACTGGATGTTTTGCACTTTCTCGTTGCCCGATTAAAAGTATTACTAAAAAAGAACAAAGACAAAAAAATAGAGAAAAAAGAAAAGAACAAAAAAAGATAGAAGAAGTGCCAGATCTGATTCCTGTAGAAGAGGACGACGAAGAAGACATGGTGATGACGAGGGCAACGGTTGAGGAAATAGAAGATGAAGAGTATCCTGGAGAATGAATCAAGTATAAAGCTTTGGTTGCTACAGAGCAGAAGGTTGCAGAAGAAGCAACAAAGGTGAAGAAATCGGTCGAAGAAATGGTTCCCAATTGGCTTCACGAGTACCTGGGAGTTTTCTCAGAAGAAGAATCTAAGCACTTTCCTGAAAGAAAGAAATGGGATCATGCAATAGATCTTAAAGATGATGGCGATCTTCCGCCAAATGTGAAACCTTATCCTGTCACCTAAAGAAATGGACACTTTGAAAGATTGGCTAAAAGCCGAAACTGCACTGGGACGTATTAGAGATTCACAATCTCCAGTAGCAGCACCTTTCTTCTTTGTAGCCAAAAAAAGATGGCAAGTTGAGACCGGTGATGGACTATAGAAAGCTCAATGAGAAGACAGTTAAAAATGTGTACCCGCTACCGAGCTCTCAAGATTTGATTGATGCTTTAACCGGTGCCACAATGTACTCCAAAATAAATGTAAGATGGGGGTACAATAATATTCGCATGAAAGAAGGAGATGAGTGGAAGGCGGCCTTCAAAACGCTGTTTGGTCACCACGAACTAACCGTAATGTACTTCGGTTTAACAAACTCCCCTGCCACATTTCAAACCATGATGAACGAGATATTCAGAGATTTAATTGATGGAAAGACCGTAGTTGTCTATATCGATGATATCCTTGTGTTCACAAATGGCAATAGGGAGCAACACCGAAAAGTTGTACGAGAGGTACTGAAACAACTAAAAGAGAATGACCTGTATCTGAAGCCTGAAAAGTGTAGCTTCGAACAGTCAGAAGTCGAGTTCCTCAGGTTGATAGTGGAGAAGGGTGGTGTTCGAATGGACCCCATAAAAGTAGAAGGAGTAATGAAATGGCCTGTACCTAAATGTGTTAAAGATATACAAGCATTCATGGGTTTCACCAACTTCTACAGAAGATTTATCTTCAGGTTCTTGGACATTGCCAGACCGATGAATGATTTATTATGGAAAGATGCCAAATGGGACTGGATGGAGAAACAGCAAGATGCTTTCGATGAACTGAAGTCAAGGTTTACATCAGCTCCGATCCTAGTAATGCCTGACGTTGAGAAAAAAATGAAAATAGAAACCGATGCTTCTGATTACGCAACTGGAGCGGTTCTATCTCAACTAATGGAAGATGACCTA